TGGTGTCAGGGAAACCCTCTCTTTGGAAGTAGCCTTTGAGCTATGACCAAAGAATAGGTATGAGGTAGGCAGGGAAGAGTTAAAGGAAGATGGAGCAACAACATGTTCAAGACCCCTACCTTAAAACCAAACAGTGAATAAGCTGTGGAATGCCTTCTCATTTCACACAACAAAAGCCAGGCCTGAAAACATACTAGGAAACCCTGGTAGCTTAGTGGTTAAGAGCTATGGCTGCTAACCAAAAGGTCGGCAGTTCAAATCCACCAGACGCTCCTTGGAAACCCTATGGGGCAGTTCTGCTCTGTCCTTTAGGGATGCTATGAGTCGGAATTGACTCGACAGCTATGGGTTTGGGGTTGTTGTTTTTTTTTTTAATAAGACCCCATATGATCTGGCCTCCTGCTGTTTCCTGTCACTTTCTTCCATGCTCACTTCACACCAGCCTGTTGGCCTCCTTGTATATGCTAAGAATGTTATTGCCTTAGGGCACCTGAACTTGCAGTTTCCAATACCTGGAATGTTCTTCCTCCAAATATTTGTATGCTTGCTCTCTCTCTTCCTTTAGGCCTCTATTATCAGTCAGGTTCTTCCCCATTCATTCTGTATAATATAGCAACTGCCAAGCCCACATTCTGTACAGCACTCATGCCCATCTGACATGCTGTGTATGTATTTGGATTTTTTGTCTGTCTCTTCCTACTCCAAGCGTGCGAGCGTGCACGTGCGTGCACATACACACACACACACACACACACACACACAAATAAACTTCCCGTAAGGGCAGGGATTTTGTTTTGGTTACGACTGTATCCCCATTACCTAGAACAGTGCCTGGCATATAGAAGGCACTCAAATTAATGAAAGATAAAGGGAACCACAAGTATCTCTCTAGTTTCTGACTTGTACATCGTAATGATAGATATAACCATTTAATGAAACCAGGGTGGTGGGAGGAGGAACAAAGTAAGAGGAGCAGATTTAGGATGGGGAAAGGATTATGAATTCAGTTTTAGGCCTGCTCAGTTTGTGATGCCCATGAAACATCCAAGTAAATAGATCATAAGGAGTTGAATATTCTAGTATGGGTTACAGACGAGAGGCCTAAACTGGAAATAGAAATATGGCTATGATAGATATTTTAAAACATGAAGATGGATGAGATGAGGGCATCTATGAAAAAGAGGACCCAGGACTAAGTCTTACTATACAACATTTGAATGGAGGAAAGACACTTCTGTTGTAACCGGAGAAAGGGGATTATGGATGCAGGTGGTTTCTAGTTTTTGTGATGACTTCCATTATTCCAAAATGACTTGTGATATATCTAGACAGAGATGTCTCAATGTGACATCAGACCAGATCATACAAGAACGGATCATTATTCCGTTGAGTTTTTCTCCAGCAATGTTCAGCTAGCTACATGGGGCATAAAATAGAGAGACAAAGGGGCAAATGGATTATGAGCAACTAAACTAGTTTTTGTTTTGTTTTTATTGGGTCAGTTTATTCAACAAACATCCATTAGTCTCTACTATATTCCAGACATTGTTCTAGATATTAGTGATACAGAGTTGATCAAGACAGTGCCTAGTGAGTGAGATCCTGGTGGTTCAGTTGTTAAGAGCTCGGCTGCTAACCAAAATGTCGGCAGTTTGAATCCAGTAGCTGCTCTTTGGAATCCTTATGGGACAGTTCGGTTCTGCTCTGTCGTAGAGGGTTGCTATGAGTTGGAGTTCATTCGATGGCAGTGGGTTTAGTGAGTGAGGTAGACCTATAAAGAAATAAGATATAATATTTGATATTATAGAAAACATGGTTAGCCAAATGTTAATAGAAGCAAAGAGGAGAGAGCCGTTGAGAAATAAGTGAGGCCTCACCAAGGAATTGATGTTCAAGTTGAGTTTTGATTTCATTTGGTAGAATAGATTACTATCCATTATTACATATTTTGTTCATCTTGTCATAAAGCAGCAGAAAATTACCACAGGTACAAACTATAACAGTATATACTCAAAGTAAAATCTTTCTAAATGGCAGTCAGAGATACATTTTTATTACACATGAGACATGATTATAAAGCAGAGAGATTAATTTTTCAGTAAACCCTCTGAATTTAAATGAACATCACCTTTAATATAACTACTTTAGGAAGCTTATATGCTTATTCCATTGATGTTACTGTTGCTCAAAATTTTTAGATACTCCTCTTTTTAGAGCTGGTACACATGTGAACCGCAGGAGAAAGATGTGGCAGTCTGCTTCCGTAAAGATTTAGTCTTAGAAACCCTGTGGAGCAGTTCTGCCCTTTCCTATAGGCTTGCTATGGGTCGGAATCAGCTCAACAGCAGTGGGTTTTGTTTGGACACATGTGAAAAGGCATCAGTGTCTGGCACATAGATAAAATATGTGTTTATTGAGTGAATGAAGAATGGTTTTCCTGTAGCAAAATAAAATTCTAACTGGGGATTTCTGTGGTGGAAAAATGTAGAAACAAGCATGAGCTATACTGTTATAGTTTATACACACAAACATATTCATTATATGTATGAAAGAGTGTGTGTGTGTGTGTACACAGATAGTCTCTGAGTTATGACAAACCACACTTAAGATTCGTTTTTGGTGTTTTTGGTATATCTTATCATTAGTAATATTACTGCATACAGTGTTGTAGCATGTAATTTGCTGATGTTATCATTCTCACATGTTCACTCACAGAGGTACAATGTTGTGATTTATAAAGATACTGATAATAAAAGGCAATAATAATGAAAACAAAAAAATGAAGTATTCTATTTATGTCAGAACGAACTTAGGATGGAGTCATTGGAACATAATCCCGTCCTAAGGGGAACTACCTGCATGTGTGTGCATGTGTATGTATGTGTGTGTGTGTGCGTACATATATTTTTACATGTATTTTCATTTTATAGATTTTGTATATAATTGAGGCATTATGACTAATTCTTCAATAATGCCTAGGGCTTTTGTAAGCTTATGTACTTTACTAGGGGAAGACTTTCAGTAAGTAAATTTAAAACACTTTTGGACAAAAATGTTACTAATTGTTTTAAGAAAATCCTTAATAGGAAAATATAACATACTTCAAGAGTCCTCTTATACTTAGAGTAGTGTCATTGAATACTATGCTAAAAATGTATTTTTCATCATGATTGTACCACAGTCTTCCTAGGACCTCTGATTACCTTTCCTGAGACTTGCTCCATTGTCTCCTCTTTGTTCTTTATCTTACAACCTCACCTGTCTATGCCTTCCTTTCAGCATATATACATGGTTAAGTCATTTTTAAAAGAGTAAGGGAGACCCTTGACCTTGAAAAGGATGTTGTTGGTGTTGGTGTTCAATTGGCTCTGACTCATGGCAGCCTTATGTATAGCAGAACAAAACATTACCTGGTCCTGTACGATCTTCATGATTGTCGGTATGTTTGAGTCCATTGTCACAGCTATTGTGTCAGTACATTTCATCAAGGTTTCCAGTCAACTCGACAGCAGTGGGTTTTGTTTTTGGTTATACCAAACATGATGTCCTTTTGTTTGTTTGTTTGAAAAGGATCATCTGTGCATTCTCTCCCTACTTTCTCATCTCCCATTCAGTAGTCCTCATCACACTGCAGTCTGTCAGCTGCATAACATGTTGGTGAAAAGCAGGGAGTCTGGAACCAGACTGCCTGGATTCACATCATGATTCTGCCACTTACAAGTTGTGTGGCCTTGAATTAGAAACTTCTTAGTTTCTTCATCTGTAAAATAAAGATAAAGTGCTTAAGAAATGTTTGGTAAATGTTGTTGTTGTGTGCCATTAAGACGATTCCAACTCATAGCAACCCCATACAATAGAGTGGAACTGCCCCATAGGGTTTCTTAGACTGTAATCTTTATGGAAGCAGATCACTCAGCCTTTTCTTCCACAGAGAGGCTGGTGGGTTTGAGTTGCTGACCGTTTGGTTAGCAGCTGAGCGTTTAACCGTTTCTTCACCAGGGCTCCTTGCTTGGCATATAATAAGCAGTACTGTACGTAAATATTGATACTGTGGTTATCATCACTGTCATCATCGTACCACCCCATAGAAACTGCTTTTGCTAAGATCACTAAGCCCTGGTGGTGCAGTGGTTAAGAGCTTCGGCTCCTAACCAAAAGGTTGGCAGTTCGAATCCACCAGCTGCTGCTTGGAAACCCTATGGGGCAGTTCTGCTCTATCCTGTAGGGTCACTGTGAGTTGGAATCTTGACAGCACACAACAACAAGGTCTCTCTTGACCTCCTATTGCCTAGGTTCTCTGTAGCCCCTTTTCCTTTGAGAAGTTGACATCCACTTCCATACTAACAAATCCCAAATCTGTCTCATCTATAATTCTCTCCTGAGCTTCACTCCAATATATAACTATGAGTGGACATCTCTGCCTAGGTATACCACAAGTAACTCAAACTGAACATGTCTACCAAGACTAAACTTAGATTCCTCCAGAAACCTAGCCCTTTTTATTTCTTATACTCTCTTATAGGTACCACCATTCACACAGTAACTCAAGTCAAAAACCTGACACTTGTCCCAAGTCCTCTTTGTTCTGCCTCTTAAATACCACTTGAATCTGCCCTCTCCTCCCCTGTCAATGCATTATTTCAGTATTTCAACATCTTAAATGTGAAGTATCAAAATATATCTCTGAGTCATCTCTTTGTTCCAATTTTGCCCTCCTCCAGTCCATTCAGTACATTTGTTCCAGATTCATTGTTTTAAAATGTAGATGTGATTTTGTTACCTTGAAATAATGACCTTATATTCCTGTTATATATTGTTGAGTGATTATTTAGATAAATGTAATGTTCTTTTTGATTATGAAAATAATCAGAAATCTTTATAGTTCACGTTATCACATGATATGTTAAATTTCTGTTTCAATTTAGCTAAAAAAAGTTACTGTCAGTTATCGGCCTAGTTTAGTGAAATGATACAGAGAAGTAAATGGCTTGGTTCTTTCCCTTAAAGAATGTAATACATCAATGAAACTTTTTTTTTTTTTTTAATTTCTGCTGTTCCTGTATTGCCTTTGCAGGAGAACTAAAATACTAAATCATACAATTCTTACACTCATTTATTCAAAAATGGCTTTTTACTGAATATCTTGTTCAAAACACTGAAAGCAAACAAAAAAAATTATTTAAGAAAAATTTTTTTTAATTCTTTGTCTTGGTTGTCTAAGAAAAAAATATTGACAGTTTCATTTTGAGCTAATTTTGAATTGATAAGGATTAAAGTGGAATGGGCTGTAAGATACTAAACATTAAAATTGAATTCATAAGCTTTAGTTTTTTTTAACATAAATATAACTTATACTAATGTTACTAATGTTTCTTAATGTTATTAGAACTGCTGTGATTTTAGCATGCTTCCCATAAAGCAAATATCTAAACATAAAACCATTCATTGACTAGCCTGTTACTTGAAAAAATCAGACAATTACTGTCATAGTCTAGTAGTTTTAAAACCTCACTTAAATACACCTTAGCTGAAGTTTATAGTATTTTTGGTGTGACAGTCATTATCACAAAGACTTTCAGATTTATCCGTATCACAAATGGATGTTACATAATCACTACTTTCTAACTTTGACATCTTTGGTTACAGGATTTACTGTGTGTGTGTAAAAGGGTAGTCTTTTTGACAAACTTAGAATTCTCCTTCCTCATATAGATGAGAGACACAAAGCATTAATTTTTTTTTGCTAGCCAACAAAGTGTTTCCCATCAGTTCTCAGACTTCCCAGAGCTTTAGTAATTCTTCATTGAGCCCAATAGTGTGTAAAGAAGAAATTCCGTAGCATTTGAAGAGAGGGGCAACAGCAGAGACTTAAGGTTTAATTTTGTTTGTCTGATGCATGGGGACCAGATTAATGATATATATTAAAATATAAGGAAAACATCCATATCTAATTTAAAAATCCCACCTTTAAAACTAAGTTTACCTAAAAAACTTAATTTTCTTTATGTACAAGTTTATTATTTTAAGTAGAGTATGCCAGTTTTCTTCACTGACCAGTTGAGAGGAGGAAAACCATAGTTAAAATAAAGTTGTGTTTGCTCTCACAAAATATGTGGAGAAGCTTCAGAATTGATCTCTCAAATCTAATGAGATTTGTCTTTCCTAGAAAAAAAAATTTTAACAAAAATAAAATAGATGCCTCAAGTAGCTTAAAATTATATCATTTTTTTATCTACTTGGTGAAAGAACAGGCTTATATTTGTAGTTCTTTATCGTAAAAGTTTACATCACAAATTTTTATCGTAGCCACTTTTTCATTACAGAACTATAGCAAATATCCCAGTGTTAGTAGACTGCTTCAGAATTACACAGTAGCTTCTTTTTTTCAGAATGCTTACACTATTGTCATGATAAATTGGCAGACAACTAATAATGTGGCAAATCTGAAAACTCTTAATACACTAACTTTAAAATCAAGAAAAAATATTTGTTATTCCAAGGTGATTTTACCCGTGAATTTCTTCAGGTTTTATTTTTTTACTCATAAGAAAATAAAAATGATTCCCTTATTTTAGAATGAGTTTTGTTGTTGTTTTTTGTTTTTTTGTGTCAGTCAGTTTGAAGGCATAGCTACTTTTCTAAAAGGTTGTGAGTGGCATTACATTTTTGTCAGTTAGAGAATGAGTTACACAACTCAAAGGCTTTAGGTAATCAAAAATTAAGTTTGTTTTCTTTCCTGTTCTAGTTACCGGTTTACTAAAATAGTGAGCATACATGATCATTGAGAATTGGGCTTCTGGAGCACCTGAACAGAAAGGGAGTGGTTCATATTCAGCATTACAAAAGACAACTTTCTCTTTTTGAAGGGGATTACTTTGGCTATTTTCCAGGTACTGGGGAAATTCCAGATTCATTACAAATTATTGGGATGGCTATTAATTATTCATTTTCTAAAATATGTTGGTTACACACTTGAGATTTGGTTATATAGTAGAGCTTTATTTGACTTAATTTGAAAAAATTATGTGGACATTTATAGTGCAATACAAAATTGAGACTCTTATATGAGTCACTTAAATTTTTTTCAGAGATCTCTAAAAACACCAGACTTACTGATCAGAGCATACTTAGTGGAAGAATTTCTTGAAAGTAATATAAAAGCAATAGGATTTGTGCATGTGTATATAAGGAACAGTTGTGTGCAATACATTGCAGTCTTTCCAAGTAATTACATAATGAAAGAAAATCATACTTCATATAACAGTTCAATTTTAGGATGTTGGATTAGGAAGGAAATTTGTAACTAGAGAGTTCTTCCTGGAGAATTAATGCTCTATATAAATAGTTGAATGATATATGCATTCTTTTCTTAAATAATCTTCAGGGTAGCAGTACATAAAGATCTATATATGTTAAACCATATAGCAGAATGTCCAAAGGATGTGACTTTTGATTATGTAGAACTATCTTTAGTATATAGATGTTTATGTCTGGTTCTAGGTTGAAGGTTTGGGAAAAACAATCTTCATTGAAAATGTATTTCCAAATATTTGTCCTACACACATCTTTCACTTACACTGATTTATCTTGATAGTTGTTAGGGCATTCACAATAGTTATTTTCCTTAATTAGGAAAATCTCTTTAGATGTTAGCTGGACTTTTTTTTTTTTTTTTTTTTAACTTACAGAACTTTTGGATAGGTTATAGTTATAACAGTACTTTTTAGTCAGGTGCTTTCTCACTGCTGTAGGTCTCTCTAAGGACTCCTTTCAGCCTTTCTACCATACAAATTTACATTCATTCAACAGATTTTATTGAACTATGTGCCTGGCATGTACTAGATCCTGAGGTACAAATGTGCTTAAGATGTGGACTCTGCTGTCAAGATATGGGAGTTCAAGATATAGAGTTAGACCTAACTAGAGAGGTGTCCCAGAGAGGAAATCTGAATTTTGATAAGTTAGTAAGTTACTAATTCTTCCTAGAGGTGTTGAGGAAGATATAATAGTTGGAGGAGATGCTGAGGTCAGTGTTAAACTGTAAGTAGGAATTTCTTACAGGGGAAGAATATTCTAAGAGGCAGGTCTTCATACATTAAACTAAAGAATATAACTTGAGATTCTTAAGCTCTGAATTCAGGAATACTCTTACTACTTGCGGTTTCCCATATAAAATGCTTGTGGAAGCACTAGCAGAGGACCACAAAACCACTTTGAGGAGCAGATGCTTGACAGTCACCTCTGCTCACTAAATTCTTGGCTTGTACATACACCAGCCATTCCCATCACTCCTCATGGGTGGACAGTTTTTCATAATAGCTTATGTCCTTAACCTTTCATTTGCCAAACAGTCGTATCATGAAGGTTAAATTAGTGAATGCCAAAAGGTTCCTACATACTAAATGTGAAATTTAGTTTCTTAATCCTTAAACCTTAAAATTGCTCTTGTCAATTTTTCACACTATTAACTTGTCTAGGAATTATAAGGAGACCCTGGGTAATGCAAATGGTTAAGTGCTCAACTACTAATCAAAAGGTTGGCAGTTCAAACTCACGCAGAGGCACCTCAGAAGTAGACCTGGTGATCTGCTCCAGAAGGCCACAGGCTTGAAAACCCTATGGAATGCAGTTCTGCTCTGCATGCATGGGATCACCATGAGTCTGAATTGACTTGATGGCAGCTAACAATAGGGATCATAAAAAAATATTTATTCATAGACACATCCAAACTCCCTGAGGGTCTGAATTACTGGGCTGAGAGCTGGGTACCATGATCTTGGGGGACATCTAGCTCAACTGGCATAACGTGGTTTATAAAGAAAATGTTCTTCATCCTACTTTGATGAGTAGTGTCTGGAATCTTAAAAGCATGTGAGCGGCCATCTGAGATACTCCACTGGTCCCGCCCTGTCTGGAGCAAGGGAGAATGAAGAAAACCAAAGACACAAGGGAAAGATTAGTCCAGCGGACTAATGGACCACAACTACCACAGCCTCCACATGACCGAGTCCAGCACAACTAGATGGTGCCTGGCTACCACCACCACCTGCTCTGACAGGGATCACAGTAGAGAGTCCCATACAGAGTTGGAGAAAAATGCAGAACAGAACTCTAATTCACATAAAAAGACCAGATGTACTGGTCTGACAGAGACTGGAGAAACCTCGAGAGTATGGCCCCTGGACGCGCTTTTAACTCAGCACTAAAGTCACTCCTGAGGTTCATCCTTCAGCCAAAGATTAGACAGGCCCATAAAACAAAACAAGACTCACAGTACTGAGGAATCCAGCACAACTTGTGCAAGGCAAGGCCAAGGAAGCTCCATAGACACATCCAAACTCCATGAGGGACCAAATTGCTGGGCTGAGGACTGTGGGGACCATGGTCTCGGGGAACATCTAGCTCAATTGGCATAACACAATTTAGAAAGAAAATGTTCTGCATTCTACTTTGGTGAGTAGTGTCTGGGGTCATAAAAGCCTGTGAGCAGCTGTCTAAGATACTCCACTGGTCTCACCCCTTTGGGAGCAAGGGAGAATGAAGAAAACAAGATACAAGGGAAAGATTAGTCCAAAGGACTAATGGACCACAACTACCACAGACTCCACCAGACTGAGTCCAGTACAACTAGATGGTGCCCAACTATCACCACTGACTGCTCTGACAGGGATCTCAACAGAGGGTCCCGGACAGAGCTGGAGAAAAGTGTAGAACAAAATTCTAACTCATAAAAAAAGACCAGACTTCCTGGGTAGACAGAGACGGAGAAACCCTGAGAATATGCCCCCCGGACACCCTTTTAGCTTAGTAATGAAGTCATTCCCGAGGTTCACCGTTCAGCCAAAGATTAGACAGGCCCATAAAGCAAAACTAGACTAAAGGGACACAACAGCCCAGGGACAAGGACTAGAAGGCAGGAGGGGACAGGAAAGCTGGTAATAGGGAACCCAAAGTATAGAAGAGAGAGTGTTGACATGTCGTGGGCCTGTTAACCAATGTCATAAAACAATATGTGTACTAACTATTTAATGAGAAACTAGTTCTGTAAACCTTTATCTAAAGTACAATAAAAAATAAAAATAAACAAAACGAGACTAAATGGGCACACTAGCCCAGGGGCAAGGACGAGAAGGCAGGAGGGGACAGGAAAGCTGGTAACGGGGAACCCAAGGTCGAGAAGGGGAGCGTGTTGTCATGTCATGGGCTTGGCAACCAGTGTCACAAAACAATGTATGTATTAATTGTTTAATGAGAAACTAATTTGCTCTGTAAACCTTCATCTAAAGTACAATTAAAAAATATTAAAATATAAAACTATTTAACCTAGTTAACAAGTACATTTACCTGTCCTTTAATGTAAGTTTTAAACTTTTAAGAGTTGCAACTATTAGTATACAGTCTTTTTCTTCAATCTAATTATTGCTTTTTTTTTTTTTTTTTAAAGAAGATATTTAACAAACTTAGTTTTAGGACTGACTCTAGGCACAATTTTGATATAAAGAAAATGTGGCTTATGTATATGTGTTTTGTGGCCAGTCATATTACTTCATATTTAGAGCTCAGTTTACTGGTGATTAATTGTAAGATCTAGTTCTCCTGAAAAACTGAGGTATTGGCATTAGTCACCATCAGGCAGTTGGACGCCAGTGAATTAACAGAGAAATAGCTCAAGATGGCATGTGACCGGTAGACATGTCACAAAACTCATCCTAAGTAGCCACAAAAATAACATACTGTTTATATAACTCCTTTTGTTTTTCATGGTACATTCACATATATTCTCAGTTATTACTAAGAACAACCATGTATGTGAAGGGTGAGCCTTCTTGTTTATAATCCAGGAAGCATTGAGATAAGAGATCTGTCCACCTAACCATAACACATATCGTATGATTTCTAGTCCATGTTATGTCACTCAATAAAATATCTTACCAGTTAAGAAGGAAATTTCCTGCTTGTCCGTATGTAGGGGTTTTAAAAAATATATGTCTTTAAGAAAGGAATTGCTTTGAGAGATAGGAAAGTGATTTTTTTTTTTTATAGTAGAGGAATCTTTGAGAGAGATGCTTTCTTGGTAGCACAGCTTGGTTAATGTAACTCTGGTTATGTTTTCTGTTATTGAACTCATGAAAACTATCTTTGTTTTTTAAAGCATTGTATTTAATGGTAACCAGTCCAAGTATCCAATTTTCTTGTAATTGTCAAAGATGTTCATGTTTCTAAAATAGCCTTATGTGAGAAGGTTGAGTTATGAGTTGCATAAAGAAATTACAAATCTAACTGCATTATGACCACAAGACTGGCTTCTTTAAGAAACCGGCATCTTTGTTCTGCCAGAATAACATTGAATACTGCTATAACAAGTAGGCCATCAGCTGGGGCATGGAAATATTTTAATTGTTTGACCTCTGTTCCAATTATGCCTTGAAATTTATACCAGAAGTTATAAGGGAACTTTTCATTTAACTGGCCTTTACACTCTTTCAAGAATATGTTGACTCCTAGGATAATGGTATTTTCAAGATGAGGAGGAAAAGTCTGACAGCTTTTTAAAACTATTATGATTTGTGTATTAGTAGAAGAAGTAAATTGGCTGTCTAAATGTCTGTTTTTACTTGTATTTGTATAAATTTTTAGAAAAATGTAGCCTGAGAGTTTTTTAATGTTCAATGAATACGATGCTTTTTTGGAGGGGTGGGCACATTTGCAACTTAATATTTTAAATTTAAGGTTTATCTCAAAATTGGTTATGCTGTCTCGACAGAAATCCAGCCAATTACCTATCATTAAAACTATTGTGTTGTTGTTGTTTATTGTTAACATTGAGTTGTAATCTATGAAAATAAGTCCCGGTCTATTTGAAGGACTTTTTAAAAATCAAGACAGGTGCACTGAAAAGCAGATAGTGGACAGAATGAAAACCAAACAAAAGGAGGGCTTAATAGGTGCTGCCTTCTTTTGGTTTAGTATTCATGTGGAAGTGTTTGAAGAAACTTTTGAGATTATTCATTACAAGTGAATATATTTTTGCATCACTTATTAATATTCTAGTCAACAAAAATTTGTTGAGCATTCTGTGCCAGAAATTGATGGAAAAGAGTAGAAAACAAGAGGATAAACACATTAGTATATATAGGCCAAAACATTTTTATTAAGCATACATTTATTGTGTACACACTAAGTTCCAGGTGGCATGGTGCTCAGTGCTGGGGATGTAAATATGAAAGATATCGTGGCACCTCTTGTGGAGGTCTGAGCCTTGTTTGCAAGGCAGACAAACTAAAAATTAGAGAGTAAGAGTTGCAATATATTATCAAATAAATGCTGTAGTAAGAGTGAGTGCTAAGCAGTATGGGATTATACCGGAGGAATCTAGGGAGGCTTCCCAAAGAGGAAATCTGAATTTTGATAGATGATAGAAGTTAGTAGGCAAAAAATGTACATTTCAAGTAAATGGAGTAATGTTGCAAACTTAGAATGAGAAAATGCATAGTCAAGGAACCACAAGTGATTAAATAAGGCTCAAGTAAAGTAAAATAGGTATTAGCATTGATGAGGCTACATAGGTAGGCAGAAGATAGACCCTTCTAAAGATTTGGCATTTCAGTAGGAAAGCAGGGAAAGCCATTAAAAGATTTATAGCAAGGAAATGGGTATGAGTAGCTATACATTTAAGAAAGATCACTATGGATGCTATTGAAAAGCGAAAAGAAATCTAATTACATTTGGAAACACTTTGCAAGATAGGAATACATGTACATTATTAAGTAAAAACAAAGTTCAGGAATTATTCTTGTCAACACTACTTGAATCTTTGAGTTATTTGGTAAAGCCGTAAATTAGCTTCATTGTATAATTGTGTGATAGGCATTAGTGGAATGTTATAGCTTAGCCTAAGCCTGAGATAATCAAATACAAGAATTGAAAAAATTAATAATTGTTGTAAATTGCTGTCTGACCACCCCTTCATCTTATTGACTATTTAGTGTTGATTCTACTTGTGCTAAGTCAGATGATACTACTAAGTGGTGGCATTTGTGTCCTGTGTAACTATGGTATATTATAGGTTGCCTGGCACTACCTCCAGTGCTGGATCTATAATTATAAGAACATATAATACAAAAGAAGAGAGAAGGAAACTCAAAAGGAATATTAAGATTATGAGAAGTGTTAAAATATAAAAGGAATTAGGAAGATAGGTAGAGAAGTATCCTCCGTAATTCCTCCTACACTGTAGCCTACCTCTATCTTCCCCTTGTTCACACAAATAAAATTTTTTGCTGCTGAAAAGTACATGTAAATGGCTAAAAGGCCTATATACCCTACCTCAAACATTTTGTAACTATTTATGTTATTTTCACTACCTAAGAATTATACAATAACAAGTTCTGTAAGATTATATATATAGTTCTCTTCTTTTGCCTTAAGGTAGGGGCACACTACCGGTTTAGACAATATTATTTTTATTATGGACTGGGTAGTGTTTCGTTCTGTTGTACATAGGATCGCTATGAGTCGGAACCGACTTGACAGCACATAACAACAACAATTTTTATTATATAGAAAATTCCTAAAGCGATATTATGGTTACTTGAGCAAACATAAGCTAATTTATAATTGAAACTACAAATAAAGCACCATAGTTTATTTTTTTTAATTGAGTTAAATTTGAATATGCTTATTTTGGAATTTTTGCTAAGCAGTACATGGTGTGGCATCATAGTTTATGGAATCCAAGTTATCTGCATGAACTGAGTAAAGTGAACCTTTCATAGCTACCAAACCTGTTTAACATAATCCAAGTGCGTGGTAACCAAGATTTGAAAAACTTCGATTTCCATTAATGTAAATCAGGGCTCTCATAAGAATGAGTATCTACTACTTTACATGCAAGCAGCTGACTTTTCTTACAGTACTTTGCCACTTGCCTCCAAGACAAATATTTACCTGTAACAAAAAGTCATCTATATGACCATATGTCTGTCAGTCATTGCATATTCTATTTAATGACTCTAGATATCTAATTGATAAAGTAATATTAAGTCCATATTGAAGTCAGATTATTCCATCATGAGATAAAATATTATGGAAAAACTACTTCTGCTGTTTTTTGTTTTTTTGTTTTTTTTGTAGTTTAAGTGAAAGTTTACAATCCAAATTAGTCCCTGATACAAAAATTTATACATACATTGTTATGTGACCCTAATTGCTCTCCCTAAACTGTGACAGCACACTCCTCCTCTCCACCCCGGATTTCCCGTGTCCATTCAACCAGCTCCTAACCCTCTCTGCCGTCTCATCTCACCTCTGGACAGAAGCTACCCATTTAGTCTCATGTATTTACTTGAGCTAAGAGGCTCACTCTTCATGAGTATCATTTTATATCCCACAGTCCAGTCCAATCTTTGTCTGAAGAGTTGGCCTCAGGAATTGTTTTAGTTCTGGGTTGACAGAGTCTGGGGGCCATGCTTTCTGGGATTCCTTCAGTCTCAGTCAGACCATTAAGTCTGGTCTTTTTACTAGAATCCGAGTTCTGCGTCCCACTCTTCCCCCGCTCCATCAGTGACTCTCTGTTGTGTTCCATATCAGGGCGGTCATTGGTGGTAGCCAGGCACCATCCAGTTCTTCTGGTCTCAGGCTGATGAAGTCTCTGGTTTATGTGGCCCTTTCTGTCTCTTGGGCTAATACTT